CCTGAAACTCTCAGACTGAAGAAGTCTCTTGGAGGAGAGACGAAACGTTTCATTAGAAAAGAACCCGTCCAGAAGACCTATACAATTTTTTCCTTTTGTATGTTTTTAAGTTTAAAATGAAATATAAAAGCAAAGTTTTGTTAAACAAAATGTATTTTTTTTTCATTTTAACTGATGTAAAGTATTTAATTCCTCACCTCTGAGGAAATCATTTTCTGGCTTTTCTAGACAGATTTGTAAACATTTCTAACACAGAACACAAATGACTTCATGTTTGAGAAAATGACAAACTAAAAGAAATAACGCTGAGTGAAAGTTTCTTCAGATTGAGGGCGGGAAAAACAAACGGCTGTGAAAAGTGGTCTAAAACCTGCAGAGATATCAAAAGACGGCAGCAGCAGGTGTCAGGCATCCTGGCGTTGTTGCTGACAAAAATCAAACTTCCTGTGAGTGAACGTGAGGCCGTGAGCAGACGGACACACAGCGTGGTGGAGCAGCTTCGTGTGAGAATAAACAACACGTGAACTGCAGCGGCTGTGATTAAGATTAACGCAGCACTCAGTGCAGGTTAGCYTCGTTGGTTTAAAGGGGGAAGCAACGTTCAAACACAGTCTGTCCACCCTCTCCTGCCCCCGTCTGGACAGTTCTCTATTTAAATTTAAATATCCAAATTTGATGTTTCCTTTTTTCAAGACTCCAACTAGAAATAAATGTGATAATTTTTATAAAGATCAGAAGAAGCTGCTTTTAGAGAGCTGTGAAGACTTGGGGGGGGGGCCTTTGGGGAAGAAGGGGGCAGGGCCTACCTTTGCAGTGGGTCACACGTCGCATCCCTTGTAAAGATCAGAGAGACACACAAGCAGCAGATGAAGGGCGGCATCACTTCCTCACCTGTGAGTGCACTTCCTGTTTCCTGCTGTCAATCAACAGCCGCTTCTGTTCAGGTCTGTTTTTTTTTTTAAACAGACCTGAGTGTTTCTTCCACTCAGTGATCTTTTTCTCAGAGACGTGTGTGTGGATGTGTGTGTGATAAATCTAGTTGTATTTAACCAATCTATAGTGCAAAACAGATTAAATGTCTTGTTGAAATAAAGAATAAAGCTTTTTAAGGTAAAGCTAGTTAAAGCAAGGAAGGGCATTTTGATCAGCTTGTATTATTTTATTTATTTATGTAGTTTTACAATTATTATAAATATGTTTGCATCAAAATTTCAACCTGCAAAAAA